GCCTTCCAACCTTCTAAGTATTCCTTTATATGCGGTTCAGAGTTCTGGGACCAGCCCCTGAGCCTGCTTGGTCAGGTATTCTGTGTTGTTGTTGGCGGAGCTCTCTGCTATACATCCACCCGATCCGCCATCTTGTTTGTTCTCGCCTAAAGTAACTCTTGCTTTCAAGTTTTGAAAAAGCTGCAGTAGAGTCTATTCTGATTTTGTTTGTGGCTGTGGAGTGCCTTTGTAAACTGCTAAGAGTCAAAGTATGTCAGCTTTTCTCTTGGCCTAAGTTTTTCTCTTTGGTGGTATTTGCTCCCCGTCTGGATCCAGGGGCCAATGTGAATGCTGCAAAACTTCACGAGACAGCCCTTCACCATGCAGCCAAGGTGAAGAATGTGGACCTCATTGAGATGCTCATTGAGTTTGGAGGGAACATCTATGCCCGAGACAACAGAGGGAAGAAGCCTTCTGACTACACATGGAGCAGCAGCGCCTCAGCCAAGTGCTTTGAGTACTACGAAAGTGAGACCAGGTTTTTCTCTCAAAGTATTTACACCAGCCAGGCTACCGGGGACCTCTGGGCTATTTCTCATCTCTCCTCCCTGCTTTTGCTATCCTTCCTTGAACTCCAGTTGAGGTCTTTGCCTGTAACTCCAAGGTTGCCTTTAATCCCTTCACCTTTAGAGTGCATTTCAACCACTGTGTCTGCTGGAGCTGTTTTGTGCTACTGCATATGCTCTTACAAGGCTCTGTTGTAACTGTAACTGATTCACTAATGAGAGTAGCAGAAAGCACCAACCCAGGCACTAAACCTTCCACCAGCCCTCATTTGACTACAAGTTTTACAGACGAGCGTTAGTTCTTTGCTGACATATCTGTGTGCTGAATTATAACATAATGACTCAAAAAATTAATTAAATCCCAGTGGACCTCAACCGAATTCTACTTCCTGATCTTCCTACCTCTGGTCCTTGACTGTCCATAATAGTAACCTTCCAGATAAGGCATGTAGCCCATCTCCAATGGAAACGGGGGCTTTTTCAGTCCCACCTAGAATGTACTATGTTTAAGGGTATGATACCATTTCCTTAAACTGTCCTCCCGTACGTTCTTGTTCTTTGGTTTTTTTTTCAGAGACACCTCTGACCCTGTACCAGCTTTGCAGAGTGAGCTTGAGGAAGGCCACTGGTGTCCGAGGACTGGAGAAAATCGCCAAGTTGAACATCCCTCCCCGGCTCATTGATTACCTTTCCTACAACTGAGCCACAGGACCCAGGGGCCAGGAGCAGACTGATGATTTGGCCTGCACTGCTACCCAGCCAGGGGTGGAAAAGGATTCCGACTTGTTTGTCAGGAGTGGTGTCATTGTTATAAATAGAGCAAGAGTCCCTCAAGTCCCTTCTGCTTCTCCTCATTCTTCTTTTCTCCAGAATCCTGGAGGGTATTTCCAAACAGGGTTTCCAACTAGTTCATTCAGGGGTCTGCACTCCCACCTCAAAAATACTGAATCAGAATCTATATTTTAACTAGATCTATAGTGTGGCACTGTGGGCTAATGCACTGGACTGCAAAGCCAGTTTGAACCGCAAGGTTGGTGGTTCAAGCTCCCTATACAGGATCACTGTGAGTCAGAACCCACTCAACAGCACTTAACAACAACAATATTAAGAATCACCAGGAGGCCAAACAGGAATAAACTGGTTTGAAATCCTGTTTCCAAGACATTAAGAAGGCCCAGCCTCCATTTCCATTGTGGTTGTGACCCTGTACTTGTCCTCCCTACAACTTAGGCGTTAGCTCCTGTGTGATTGCAGCCAACCTGTTTTCTTCTTTTTACCGACCCTCTTCAAAGTCCTAAGACAAGGCCAAATTGCTCTAGAAGCAAAGGCAAAAGCCAGGCAGGACTGGGGATTCAGGCCGCTGCTATTGAGGAATAGTACAGAAGCTACAGGTCACAGATGCCTGTCCAGCCTGGGTGAACGTGGCCCACTGAACAGGGTTTGGCCTCTCTGTGCTCACAGGGAGAAGCCTGTGCTCCAGAGCTGGGCTGAATGGGAGGCTGGGGCCCTGGTCTAACCAGGTGACATCTTTCTACCTGGAGCAACAACAGGCACTTTGTAAAGCCCACCTGTGCTGAGATAGATCCATCACTCAGGGAGCATTATACTGGTCTTATTGGGGGAAAGCTCAGGCTTTTTGTTCCCCACAACTAGGATAGTGTTTCTTAGGACGTTTTTCTTCAGTTTTAGGTCTCGCCACTTATAAAAAGTGACACAGAATGTTAAAATAAAAAAACTTAAGAATATATGTAGGATACAACCTAAGGTGTTGTTAATGAATCTTTAAAACAGAAGGTAATATGAAGTTATGTAAAATTATCTTTTCATGGGTCATTATTTGCACTTTTCTGATGTAAAGGATTAAGGAGCTCTGGTACCATAGTGGTTATGAATTGGGCTGCTAACCTCAAGGTTGGCAGTTTGAAACTACCAGCGGTTCCACGGGAGAAACATGAGGCTTTCTGCTCCCGTAAAGATTTGCAGCTTCAGAAACCCTGTGCAGGGTCACTATAAGTCAGAACCAACTCCACGGTACTTAACAACAACAACAACAATGTAAAGGATTAAGGAGCTCTGGTAGCGTAGTGGTTATGAGTCGGGCTACTAACCTCAAGATCAGCAGTTCAAACCTCCCAGCCATCTGTGGAAAAAAAATGAGGCTTTCTGTACCCATAAAGGTTTACAGCCTCAGAGACCCCATGCAGGGTTGCTATGAGTCGGAACCGGCTCCATGGCACATAAGCACTTCTGTAAAGAATTATTATGAAACTCTTTAAGGGTTACTTTTCACCTGTTTCTATACTTGCCAAATGAATTCTTCTCCTACTCTTAATTCTGATAACTCCTTGAAGCTCTAAAATGAGAGAACACCAGTACACCGTGGGTACATAAGCCATTTATTCATCCATCTTGGGAGATATTTACAGAAAATCTATTATGCTTAAGGCACTATGCTCAGTGCTTTGAACTGGATAGGAATCATGACTAAGGATCCAAGGCAGGGAAACAAAATATTTACTCAGTAATTTGTTCCTATAGTCTTTATTACTAATCCTGGTTCTACATCACAAACCATGCAGTGAAATGGTAAGTAATATATTCAGATGGCATTCACCTGCCTAAGATTCTGCATCTGAATTTTGTTTTTTAAATTAAGAGTTTGATTAGAGGAATTTGCATAATTTGTTCAGGTATATTTGGTTTCTAGGAAAATAGAGATGACACTACTTGTGAACACTAATGTGAGTCATCTGCCTGAAGCTAGTGTGAACAGAAATGGAAAAATGATAGTTGCCACATACTCCCAGCCCCAGAGAGTATGTGGAATAGGATGAGATCAAGTTGGCTAAGCTGATGCCAACTGTACTGCACCCTGAGAGACATTTCTCCACATGGTTACATAGGGTCATAGATCCCGTGAAAGTCTCATGCCAGCTGCCATGGGTATTTTCCATCTCCAGTGTCTGAGCCACTCTCATGGCGGTACTTCATCTTATACTGAGACTAAGACTGCTTCCATTTGGATACAATCTAACACATTTTGGGGAAATCGATGTTTCTGGATATAATAATCAAACAGCTTTGGGTTCCACCCTTTTCATCTTGGTAACAGAAACTTACTTCTAGCAATAAGTTCTGGTAACATCTCTACACAGTATAGCATCTAGTACAGAATCTGGTCCTTGCCGTATTATTCAGAATAAAGTTCATCCTTGTGTTCATGTGACCCTGTTTTTATTGAGGGCAGGAGCATGGAATGGGTCTCATCCTGTGTGAGTGAAGAGAGGTGGCTAGCATCGGCCCTGTGTTTTAGAAGTTCACACCTGTTAGGCCCCACAGCTACCTGCCTCTTCTCCTGGTGCTGATTTCAGGGCAACCCTGATAGGGACTTTCAGAGGGAAGAGACTATCCAAAGGATCAGATGACTAGATTCCAGGCCCTCCTTTCTGCTTTAGCGGTGTGACTGGAGACAAGTTTGTCTTCTGGGCCTTGATTTTCCCAGCTGCAAAACATAACAGATCAGAGTTTAATCACCAAAAGGATTTGATGACCATTCGTTGAACCAATCTCCTTGTTTTACAAGTGAGAAAATAAGGTCCCACTACAAACAACAACAAAGAAGCTTCATAAGTATTTTCATGAGACTGAAATTAGGTGATTTAAAACATGCTTTGAAAACTAGCATGTGTTCTCCAAATGATGAGACTGGAGCTGGGCTAGGCAGTGTTCTGTTCTGTGTATATGGTTACTGTGAGTCGGAGCCAGTTTGCAGCACCTACCAAAAACAACATGTAAGTTATATGGTGTTGGCTGTACTGTGGTGGTATTGATGTTTGTGGTGGTGCAGTGGTTAAAGTGCTCAGCTGCTAACCAAAAAGGCTAGTGGTTTAAACCCACCAGCCGCTCTACAGGAGAAAGATGTGGCAGCCTGCTTCTGTAAAGGTTTACAGCCTTGGAGACCCTATGGGGCAGTTCTGCTCTGTCCTGGAGGGTCATTATGAGTCAGAATCGACTCAACAGCCAGCAATGTTTTTGTTTTTGTATTACAATTCAAAGTGCATACTCCATATCCCCAGTAATCTATTTCATAAATACTAATCTCTAAAGGCCACTACTCTATCAGTTTGTTTTATTACGGTGGCCTGCGTGTTACTGTGATGCTGGAAGCTATGCCACCAGTATTTTAAATACCAGCAGGGTCACCCATGGTGGATAGGTTTCAGCCAAGCAACAAGGTTGTATTCTTTCACCATACTTATTCAACCTATATGCTGAGCAAATAATCCGAGCAGCTGGGTTCTATGAAGAAAAACATGCATCAGGATTGGAGGAAGACTCCAATATGCATATGATACAACCTTGCTTGCTGGAAGTGAAGAGGACTTAAAACATTTACTGATGAAAAGAGCACAGCTTTCAGTATGGATTATATCTCAATGTAAAGAAAACAAAAATCCTCATCACCGGACCAATAAACAACATTCTTATTAACGGAGAAAAGATTGAAGTTGTCAAGAACTTCATTCTTCTTGGATCAACTGTCAACACGGAAGCAGCAGTCAAGAAATCGAACAATGTATTGCATTAGGCAAATCTGCTGCACGAGACCTCTTTAAAGTGTTGAAGAGCAAAGATGTCAGCTTGAGAACTAAAGTGTACCTGACCCAAGCCATGGTATTTTCAATAACCTCATATGTATGTGAAAGCTGGATAGTAAATAAGACCGTAGAAGAATTGATGCTTTTGAATTATGTTGTTGGAGGAGACTATTAAAAGTGCCATGGGCTGCCAGAAGAACCAATAGATCTGTTTTGGAAAAAGTGTAGCCAGCATGCCTCTTGGAGGCCAAGATGGCCAAACTTCATCTCTCATACTTTGGATATATTGTCAGGAGGGTTCAGTCGCTGGAGAAGGATATCATGTTTGGTAAGGTGAAGGGTCAGAGAAAAAGAGGGAGACCGTCGAGATGGATTGGCCAAGTGGCAGCATCGATGGATTCAAGTGTGGCATTGGTAGTGAAGTTAGACCAGGATTGGGCAGTGTTTCATTCTGCTGTGCACAGGGTCACTATGAGTTGGTACCATCTTGATGGCACCTAACTACAACAACATAATGACGTGAGTGGTGTAAAACGTTTGGCACCTTCACTTGCTGATGAGGCCACAACTCAAAATTAGAAACAACCTGCAAACATCCATTAATAATCAGAACATGGAATGTATGAAGTATGAATCTGGGGAAACTGAAAGTTGTCAAAAATGAAATGGAACGCATAAAGATCAATATCCTAGGCATTAAATGCTAACATGAACTGGTATTGGCTATTTTGAATCAGACAGTCATATAGTTTACTATGCTGGAACAACAAATTGAAGAGGAATGGCATCTCTCCATTGTCACAAAAGGACATTTCAAGACCTAGAAGTACAGTGCTGTTTGTGATAGGTTAGTATTCATATGCCTACAAGGAAGACCAGTTAATAAAACTTTTATTCAAATTTACACACCAACCACGAAAGCCAATGAAGATGAAATTGAAGAATTCTACCATTTCAGGAGGTAGCATATGATCAATAGTATCAAAGGAAGAAGTCCAAGCTGCACTGAAGACAGTAGTGAAAAACAAAGCTCCAGGAATTGATAAGACTACTAACTGAACTGAATTCCAGCACTGGAAGTACTTACTAGTTTATGTCAAGAAA